AACACACACACACACATACACACCCAAGGTTCAATTCCTGCGGACTCTCAAATTTTCGACAAATAAATTAGGTTACTTCTGTATCTTACATATATACTCAAGCCCCAATTCCTCAGGATTCTCAAATTTTCAACAAATAAATTAGGTTACTTCTATATCTTAGATACAGAACGATATTATAATAGTATCATTCACATTTTAAAGAAAAGCTGAGAAAAATAATTGTGCAGAAATATTTTAAAAATTGGGTCATCTTTAAAAATTTTTGTTGTAGCTATTGTTTTAGCTACAAAAATAAATATTCCATTTATTTTTACTTAAAACTTGTTGACTGAAATTTACAACCTACTTTTATAATAAACTATTCTTAGGTGGCAAACAAGTAAACCGACACCCTTTAGCACACTCTTTGTAGGTGCTGTGGAAAAGTGAAAAGCAAGTAGAAGTTGTGGGAATTTTCTCAAGACTCTCTCAGTCCACTTTTTATAACTCAGGCTCCCATATGACATTAGAATTTAAACAGGCAAGGAAAGACGTTTCTATACTAGTTTCAAACTTTCCAATTTTTCTTCTGCCAAGTCTTCTCAAGTATTTCTTAAGGTACAAATCTGTACATGATGGAAAGAGCTTCAATAGATGGAAAACTATACCATCAACTGTGTCCGTGTAAGCTGACTTTTCTTGGGGACGCCATGGGTCACCCTAATAAGATGCTACATGGCAATCTCTTTGAAAAACATAAAGCTCTATATTACAAGTACATGATGGCATTATTATTATTTTTTTCTACAATTAATCTGTCAAGAATCCAATTCAAATAGGAAACCTAGATTTGGGGATCTTTCAAAGATGAAGAAGGTACTATTGAAACACATTTACTTTTTCTTCTTCCATGAATTGATTTTGCCTCTTTCATTTAAAAAGCATACAGAGATGACTTCCATGCAAAGCTATCACATACACACATGTGCACCCACACATTACATATGTAAATATAGAAGCACTGACTTTCCAAAAATATTGTATCATGGTCTTCGAAATTTAAAAAAAAATCTGTTATTCTGAACAATGCTAATAGCAAATGGATTTGAATGTGGCATCACTTTGCTAAAAGTATTTTACAGTATTTCTCAGATGCAAATATGCATGTATGGAAAGTACACAGATTGATTTCCATAGGCAAATTAAACAAAAAAATTCTCATGTGAAGAAATTATTAGACATATCACAAGGGAGTAGAAATGGTGGAATGCTGTGAGACTGTACAGATTATTATGAAGGTGCACAGGCACATAATACTTTAATAGGAACTCCTATTGACTACCATATAAAATGTTTTAAATGGTTAGACTCCAACTTTGAGATGTCCCCACCCCCACCCTTTTAACATTTATTTCTCCAGACTCCCTGTCTCTTCCCTGGTCCCCTTCTTTGCTAGTGTCATATAAACATACCACCATAGAAATACCTACAATACATTCTCTGAATATGTAAGGAACATATCTGTAATGGATTTGTGATCGGCCCTCCAATAGCTCTTTGGATAACCTTTATTCTGAGAAGCTGAGGTGACAGGTAAACTTCCCAGGTACCACTTCGGTAGGCTTACTAAACCAGGTAGAGACCCTGGAGAAACCTGGCTCTATTTCATTCACTTCTTCCCCTCTTTTAGAAAACCCATCACATCATGCAGTACCTTCTTTTCATTTTCCCGTCGCTGTTGGTCCTTAAATTTGACCTGGAGAAGTTGATACTTCAAGAGTTTCCCAATCAGTGGTAAGGTTAATTTCTCTCCACTATCCATAATTGTTTTTGCTGCAATTAACACCTGTGAAGAGACACAATTATTAGCAAAAGTATTGTATTGCAACCTTTGGCACAGTCTTGTCAGTGATGCAAAGATGCAACGGTAGTATTATATATTTGTAATGCTCGTCTTACTGCAAAGGTGCATCATTGCTAGCCAAAAAAAATTAGAGAAAAATGTCCCAATGCCATAGGAAGAACATTTATCCTCTACTTTAAAAACTGGGTTTCCAGGGAACCAGCAGTTAGCGTAATGGCTATGTCGCTGGACTCCCACGTAGTTGACCGTGGTTCGTATCCCGGACCCGGTGGCTTAAAACTCACGCCGGGCGCATGTGCGTGCATGCCCAAGATCCCGAGAGGAGAATGGAGGAGAAGGGATTGCGGCATGACCATCCCCCCTGGGGGGTGATTTCTCGCTTTCTGTCTCTATGTCTCTCTCTGTCTGTCTGGCGAGCGCACGCGCCCTACAGTGAAAATCTCTCAAAAAAAAAAAAAAAAACCCAAAAAACTGGGTTTCCAAATATCAGCTTTCTCTAATAAGGCAGAGAGCACTTCTCACAATGATGTGGGACTCCCAAAAAAGGGTAGAGGAAGGAAAGGCAGGGCTTCATCTTAGGATGACTGACTGACTGGTCAGTTTCATGCTACAGAAAGACAATTGTTGTTTGCAGAGCCAGTAGTCCAAACTGTCCAACTCTGACTTTATTAGGACATTATAAATTAAATAGGGTTTTATAATAGTGGAAATGACTATGTTAGTAGTCTTTTATTTCTTGGTGACCAAATTCAAATGAAAGATAAAAGCTGCTTGACACAGAGGCGCCACATGAATGTGGCTCCCCCCTTGCAACTTGATGTTGATCCTCTTGGTATGCAGCCTAATTGGGGTGAAATAAGGTTATTGAGTTTTCTTTGGGTGACGACAGCCACTAGGAACATACAGCTGTATTGTCCAGATGTGTGGCACTGACAGCCTGTTTTATGACTGTGTTCTTTACAGCTTGTTTCCCCTAAATTTCACACAACTCTCTAACATCTGGGCCCTTTTCCTTGGAGTCCTATAACCACTTTATTTACTGCAAAAAAAATAAAATCACGTAAAATATACCATAAAAAGTTGTTATGTGTTTCTCTTTATTCGTGTTGTCTCCCTAATAAAGTTCACCTCTGCCTGAAGCACTGTCACAGAAGTAATCTAGTTAAAGTATTTTTCAACTTTTGTTTTTAAGCAAGCATCATATTTATTTATAACCTTGGGATGAATTAGGTGTTACTAAAATGTTCTGACATGTTGCTTTTCTGCCCCTTTGGAGCAATCACTCCTCGGGCGCATATGGTGTCAATTTCGGGCCCTCAGTCTCAGACAATGACCGAGCACACTGCCATGCACGGAGTTGTGTCTTGTCTGAGGTTTATACCGGGCTCTTGGTCAGAGCTTCCCTGATTGGTCCAGTTACTTTTGACTTTCCACTTCGCCAAGGGAAATAGCTGGAAGAAAGGGTGGTGCCTATTTTGCTTCTAACTGCAGAAGGCCCTATGGATTATCATGTGCCAAAATGTAACTGGACCTTTTAGAGGCCACTCTGGGATTTTCCCCATTGCATTAAAGAAGGGGGAAAGACAGGGAAAGGATTCCTTTAAAGCTGCTTTTTCTAAAAACCAAAGGAACAGAACAACCATCAGAAGGTTTGCATGTGTCTAGTGAGTACTTTCCAGGAAACCGAGCGCTTGACTTTTAACGGTAGTTTTGTTCCTGCTAACACGATTTAAGGAAAGGGATGTGATGGTGTGCTTGTTGGGAGCAGGAAAACGTAACTGTACACCTGCAGGACCTCACCATTTAATGATGACCAGATTCAGGATGGAAGGGAATCCTAAGGGGGATGCAGGTCAGGCGGTAACTGTAAAATGAAAGCTGTCTGGCTAGGCCCGGCCCCAAGAGTAGATGTCAGTGTTTGGTTTGAAATGGCATTTTTCAATACCACCTAAACAATGTGTTGACAATCAGGCTGCTTGTGAGAACTGGTTCAAAATATTCAGACGCGCATGTTTAGAGCTTGCGGCAGTCTTACACGGGGCTTTTCCCTGCAACACCAAGACAGTGAGAGTGTGGAAGGCAGGTCAGCACTGAAATGGGCTGCCCCAGAGCAGTGGGGAAACCTCTTCTCCTGATGTCATGTGAAAACGGGATACTCCACCATGCCTACCTGGAGTCAGGGTGATGGATAGGAAGCCTCTGCAGGTGCTTTCTAGTCCCTCATCTCTAAAAGTCAATGAGTGTTACCTCACTGTGTTAAAATTGGCTCAAAGCAAATGAAATGTCCTGAGAGTAAGGTATTTTGCAGGTCATAAAAGTTATTTCCAATTTGTCTGAAAATGGCTATAGAATTCTGAAACAGGAAGAGGGTGCAGCAGCAAAGTAACAGTGGCGTCCTGCCCTGATACGGGGAGACAGGCAAGAAGGAGCATTACTAGTGTGGCTGTGACATGTTCTCGGCACAGGGTGAGACTCATTAAAATGGAAAAGCTGTTGCCAATGAAATCTCAGTTCTCCTGGACCTCCTGCCATGACTAGGGGTAGACCTCAGGCTGAGCTACCAGAGCTGGTTAGTTCTGAGAAAGGCTGGTGTAGGAGATTAGGCTGGAGGCAGAGAACAGAGCACAGCTGAGGCACGAAGGTACATGTACAATTTAATTGTGCGAAGATATTTATTTTGGGGTTGAAGAAGCTCTTTTCTGTTAGGAAGTTTGTGATTCTGAGCACACTAAGAAATAAAATCATTTCCCTCTTTATCACTGGCCTGGCTCAAACACTACATCATATTTACCATCTAATGATTTGATCCAACAAAAATACTCCAAGTGAGCCAAATTCTTTCCTTGCAGGGAGATCAGGCCCGCCCACAGACATTAGTGCCCTCGCTCCCCCTTCTGACCTGTATACCTTCCATATTAGAAAATGCAAGTAACTGCCTGCCCAGTGTTTACACATGCCTCATACATTCCCACGGAAGCCAAATACATGCATCTGTGTATATGTGTTGGTACACATGCATGTATGCACACATGTACAAATGTGTGCACATAATACATGTATACAAATGCACATATGCACAAGTGCATATCTATGTGCATCTGTAAGATAATAAATGAATAGACATAGAATGGATCCCCTGAGGTCTGCTGCCTAACTTCCTGGTATGCTTGCAAGGAGGCATAGGGGCCGGCTTGGATTAGTATATAACTTGCTGCACACTCAATCCCAGGGGAGCCGAGGGAACGTAAAGGTTTGGATCTGCATTTCTCTTGCCTGGAAGAGCCTTTGGGAGTGAGGTAGTGAAGGAGAGGGCAAGGTGTCCTGGTGTGAGGTAGAGTAGGGTAAGGTGATAGGAGAGGGGTGGTCTTTGGGGGAAGACTTTGCATCAAGAGCTTCGAATAGCTACAAATAGTTCCTCTCAATCCTTTGGTTCCAGAGCCTTCTCTTAGGAGCCCATAGTGTTTGTGGCCATAAATGTAATCATTAATACGATATGACTTTATATCAAACCCATTTCCTTTGTGTTAATGACCTAAGATTGGTTCGGATATATAAAGACCTCAGCAGAGCAGATTCCATAACCCAGAGCTTGATTCGATCCAGACTAGCACAGGGCTGGGCAAACAGGCTTTCAACACACAAAAGATTCAACTTTTTGTATCACATTATTATTATTATTATTATTATTATTATCATTATTATTATTATTTGGAGAGGTTTTTGCTATAGGGCTCATGCACTTGCCAGAAAGACATAGAGAGAAAGAGAAACAGAAAATAAGAAATCACCTCTAGAGGGGATGACCACGCCACAATCCCTTCTCCTCCATTCTCCTCTCAGGATCTTCGGCATGCACACACACATGTCCGGTGTAAGTTTAAGCCACTGGGTCCAGGACTCGAACAGTGATTGACTACATGGGAGTCCAGCGACATAGCCAGTACGCCAACTGCTGGTCCCTCTATCACATTATTTTGGGTAGCTATTTCCATAATATATGATCAGTTAAATAAAGTAAGAGCATCATAGTAAAAGTCACAACAGCACATACTAAAAATATATAATACATAAAGTAAAACTATCTTCAAGGACCAGCAGTTAGCGTAATGGCTATGTCGCGTTCCAGACCCAGTGGTTTAAACTCACGCCGGACGTGTGTGCGTGCATGACCAAGATCCTGAGAGGAGAATGGAGGAGAAGGGATTGTGGCATGGCCATCCACCCTGGGGGGTGGTTTCTCGCTTTCTGTCTCTCTGTCTCTCTCTGTCTGTCTGGTGAGCGCATGCACCTTATAGCAAAAAACCTCTCAAAAAATAATAATAATAAATAAAATACAGATACTATCATAAATTATAAAAAAAAAGACAAAAGAAAAAAACTATCTTCAAAGTTGACTAAGCAGGTAGCAGGATCATTTGCTTAGGCATTCCATTTTTATCTTATATCTGCACTAAGAAGTTGGAGGAACTATTGCCCCAATGTGTATGTGTGTGTGTGTGCGTATGTGTGTGTTTACAAAATTTCCAACCTTTAGAGTGAAAGGCTGCTTTAGATGGACTTGATTTTGCATGTGTGATAATAGGATATGAGAGCAGGTACCATGTAATGATGGAAAAGGGCCACTTTTATTGAGATGCTCTCACATCAAAACATTTCCATGGGGAATTTCGCTCCCTTGGTCCAAGGAGTGTTGAACTAGTTGCTGCAGCCTGAACTATTAAAGTGCTAAATAGTGCAAAACCACGGGCAGCATCTCTGTCCCAGCCTTCCCCAATGCCACTGGGTAGACTTGTGCAAGTTATTCAACCCCTTTAAACCTCAGGGTATTTTGTTTGTTTGTTTGTTTTAATCAATTATCATTTTTGTTGCTGTTGTTGTTATTCAGTACAGCGGTTTTTCTCAACAATGGCACTATGACGTTTTGAGCCAGGTAATTTTTTTTTACTAAAGGAGGTTTTCCTGGATAGGGCACATCCCTATCC